AATGAAAACATACTGCAAACCCCTTGGGGCATTCCTTGGCCATATGCACCTCCTTGCCACATTTGTAGCAAGATCCTGCTCTACACACTCCATCATGACCCTTGCCGCACTTTCCACAAGTGTGGCCCTTCTGGCTCCTTGATTTGGGATTAGCGGGCTTGGCCTGCTTGGCTACCGGCTGGAATTGTGCCGGTCGCCAATCCCTCCCATGAGACTCAGCCTCCTCCCTAGCCTGGGTCTCCAGCTCGATCTCCCTCTTCTGGGCATTTGCCTGAAGCTCAGCAAATGTACGGTATGAGGAGTTCGCCACGAACTCCTGAATGTCCTGTCTCAAAATACTCAAATACCGACTCCTAATTGCCTGCTCAGTGGACACGTGCTCAGGGCAGAACATCGCCCTCTCGTGAACCATCCTGGTGATCATCGTAACTGACTTAGTGCCCTGCTTGAGGGTTAGAAACTCCTGGGCCAAACGCTCCCTCTCCTCCTGGGGAACGTACTCATCTCGGAACATGGTAGTGAACCTCTCCCAGGTCACCGCCGCAAGCTCTGCAGGCGAAAAGTGTGCTGTGACAAACTTCCACCAGTCCTTCGCTCCGAAGCGAAGCTGGTTCAGCGCGAACTGTACTCTCAAATGCTCAGGAGATGAGCAAGTGAAGAAACACCCCTCTATGTCAGAAATCCATCTCATGGCCGCCACTGGGTCCTGGGTCCCATCAAACTCTGGTGGTTTCGAGTTGATGAACTCCCGGAACAGCAACGCATCACCACCCTGCAGCCTAGCAGCAACAACAGCTATAGTGGCCGCCACCACCGCAGCCTCGGAAAGAGCGGCATAACGCTCGTCGAAGGTCTCAATCAGCGCGGTCTTAATAGACCCGAACATCTCTGGTATCTCTTCCCTGATGACCGCAGCCACCTCCTTATGAATGATCTGTCAGATCTCCTTATCACTAGCCCCAACACCCTCCGACATACGACGTGTCCTCACCATGATCAAACTCTGAAATACAACATACGATAAATTAGAATCCGCTCGAGCATACTCACACTCGACAACCCATCTCTCCTTGATTCTTGGTATTCCGAAGATTCTTACTTGGACCGTGCACCGCCCCGGTGCTTTCAGTAGTACGGGACCAATACTACTGTCCACACCGTCTCAGTACACACTCCAAATCCTCCTCTTCAGATCCCAAACTCCAAGTACTCTATCGCTCTCTAACAGATCTCTCATAAACTCCTCGCTACTACCTATTCACTCTCAAGCATCTCATAGCAAGTCACATCTTCCTAGGCTAAGGCATCACAAATCAGAGCACTCTAGTCCTAATAAGAATACCTAGCCCACTCTATCAAGAGAATACATCATAAAGATATAATATAATGGTATTTTGGGAAATCACCGTTGGGCGCTGACTGATCGTACACACGTTTCTTCCTTGCATTTCTCAAAAAAAATCTTTTACTCTTAAAAAAGTTTAATTCTCTTTTGAAAATATTTTTCCAAATCCTCAGTTTGAGTTCAAATACTCTCGAAGGTGTACCCGAATCCCTCAAACCAAGGCTCTGATACCAAATTGTAACACCGTAAATTTCAAAACAATTTTTTTTCAATTTTTCATAAAACATAATTCATTTAATATTCATAAAACAACCATATTTAATTATCCAATTCAAGTAAATACAAAATCCCAAGCTCACAAATGTATAAACTCCGTGTGTGTGTACGGATCAAGCCGGCGCCTTCCCGCGGTCGTCACTAGTACCTGAAACAATAACATCAAACACTGTAAGCACAAAGCTTAGTGAGTTCCCCAAAATACCAAATATAACACATATTATCCACTCGCGGCGATAACTCTGTGGGTCCGTGCACCCAGACTCTGTGAACCCTCAGGTTCTAACTCTGTAAACATGCACAACATCAATCACATACAAATAATGCAGTACAACACATAACATACATAGCATACAAATCCTCTATCACATAACTCTGGTTACCTACTCAAGGTAAAGTATAGTAAGAAGACTCAGCTCGCGTGTCTCGGTAAGTCGTAAATCTTGAAATCACTAGTGCTCGATCTCCCGAGCTATAGTCCTCCTAATCACAATACATCTCTAATTAACACTTTCCCAACTAAGGTTGACTACTCTTAACAAGTCAACTTAGGTCAACGGTCAACGGTCAACTTTGACCGGACTCGGAGAGTGCACTATAGCGACTCGGTGAGTCTGAGCGTATACACTGATTTCCCTGAAATCCTCCCTTGACACGTCGGGTATCCTCCTAACTCGATGAGTTGCACCTGGCATGAGTTGTGGGGCCACCACGACTCAACTCGCCGAGTCTCAAGAATAACTTAGCGAGTCCAGCATGACTCAGTCCACCTGTCCACTCTGACTTCCCCCTGACTCACTGAGTCAACCCTCCCCAACTCGGCAAGACCACTCACTGTCTGATCAGGCAACATTCATACTACTCGTCGAGTCTGTTCTTCGGACTCGGCGAGTCCGTGCCATGCAATGACTCAAACTTGCTCATAAGGTCAGATCCAGTCCATTAACCCATAGATCCAATCCTCCCAAGCTTATTTAGCACGTAAAGTCACTATCTTGATGCACATACAATCTCTATATGGCCATATATGATGTTCTTGACTCAAATATTACAACTCAAGGTCATAAACTCCATTGTTATACAAAAAACTTGATGAGTGAGGCTCTCTGGACCTCTATGGATCCAAATCCAGAGCCTCAATACAAGAAGGGAACTATTTGACATCAAATCAACCCAATAATGTCCACAAGAAACCCTAAATCCCATTATACTTCACAAAACAGAAGATAAATCGAAACCATACCTCTAGATCGATGATATGAGCTTCCAATCCACAGAATAGCAACCTCCTTTGCTTCCTCTTGCCTAGAATCTTCTCCTTCTTTGCTAAATGACACAAACAATGGTCAAGAATGCTTCTTTTCTCTCTCAAAACGTTTAAGCACTCATGGGTTTCCCTCTAAGGGTTGGGTGAGCACAAATGATGGAGATAAGGCCCTTTAAATAGGTCTCAAACCCCGAAAATTAGGGTTTCACCACACAGCGTGGACTCGCCGAGTCCACCCTTGGACTCGTCGAGTCCGGACGCGAACCCGTGCCCAAATCCGCGATCCTACTCGGCGAGTTTAAGCTCCAACTCGCCGAGTCCACTCACAATTTTCATAAATAATTCCAAAATAAATACCTGGAAATTCCAGCCTGTTACATGAGGCTTCAGCTGCCTCAAAGCATAGGCGATGACATGCCCTTTCTGCATTAATATTGCACCCAAACACGAGATGGATGCATCGCAATACACTACGAAATCATCCACGCCCTCTGGCTGGGCTAATATTGGCGCCTCACACAATCTCTGTCTTGTGTTTCAAATGCGGCCTGTTGCTCAGCCCCCCTGCGAAAGACCACAACTTTCCTTGTCAACTGGGTCAAGGGCGTGACTATCTTGGAGAAGTCCTGAATGAATCTGCAATAATAACCTGCTAGTCCCAGGAAGCTCCGAATCTCAAATGGAGACCTTGGAATCTCCCACATCATCACGGCCTCCACCTTGGTCAGGTCGATCGAAATTTCGTTCTGGTTGACAAGGTGCCCAAGAACTGCACCTCGTGCAACCAGAACTCACACTTGGAGAACTTGGCATACAAGCTCTCCCTCCTTAGAGTATCCAACACCTCTCGTAAGTGCTCATCATGCTGCTCCCGCATCTTGGAATAAAACATGATGTCATCAATGAAGACTATCATAGACCGATCCAACATCGGTCCGCACATGTGGTTTATGAGATCCATGAACGCAACAGGAGCATTGGTGAGCCCGAAAGGCATCACCACGAACTCATAGTGACCATATCGCATCTAAAAAGTAGTCTTCTATACATCATACTCTCTAACACTCATCTGATGACAACCTGAACACATATCAATCTTGGAGAACCAATATGCTCCCTGAAGCTGGTCAAAGAGATCATCAGTCCTCGAGAGTGGGTAACGATTCTTCACAGTTACCTTATTCAGCTCTCGGTAGTCTATACATATCCGATGCGACCCATCCTTCTTCTTCACAAACAAAATTGGGGCTCCCCAAGGTAAACTGCTCGGTCTGATGAATCCCTTGTCTAACAGCTCATGCAGATATGTAGACAACTCCTGCATCTCAGGAGGAGCCAACTGATATGGTGTCTTGGCTATCGAAGCTGCACATAGGACTAGGTCAATCCTGAACTCTACCTGCCTCATCGGAGGTACCCCAAGCAACTCCTCTGGGAGTACATCTGAGTATTCGCATACCACCGATACGTCACTCACCGTCACCATACCCGCCTCCTGGGTATCCAAGACATAGGCGACATACCCTGTGCACCCCTACTGGAGATAACGCCTAGCTCTCGCTGCTAAACAGAAAGTTAGTCCAAGCTGTTGCCTCTCGCCCTGAATCACTAGCTCTCCCCTACTTGGGGTCCTAACCCGAACCAACTACTACGCGCAGTCAATCACTGCCTCTTTAGGGCTTAACCAATCCATGCTTATAATAACCTTGTTCCTCTGCAATGGTATGGGAACCAAGTCTACCAAGTAGTACTCCTCAACAACCTTAAAACACAATCCCTGAAAACCTCTGATGCTAGCACTGATCGATCGTCCGCAATCTAGGCCTCTAGAGGGCAATCCAACATGCCCGAAGACTCAGGGAACCTCTTACTAAGTGCAAGAGAGACAAATGATCGGGTAGCACCCGAATCAAACAACACCTGAACTAGGATACCGTTCACATGGAATGATCCTAAACAAAATGATGTGACCTGGCTCTAAACCACCTAGGCTATTAAGAGATGGTCATCGGAATGGAACCTGAAAGGCCACAAAAACAGAAAAGATGTTAGCCACTCTCGCAAGAGTCCTGGGCCACTGAGGTGGTCACATCGTTGGACCGAATTCTCACTATGAGTGCCTCGTCGGGGGTTTGCTTTCTTCTGGCCCACTCCAAGGGGTGTGTCATCAAGTCCCAAATTCCAGTAATCATGATATATTCTAGCTAGATATGATGTCCTGGACTTAACTGACGGTGCACGTGTCATACTTTTACTCGGTCGTCGCTTCGTTTCCAGTGATGTGATGTTACGATGTGCGTGCGACGGTTACGTTAGCTGTGTGCGGGATTTTCGTAAATCCCTCTTTTTTCCCTTTTATTTTTCCAAAGCGTTTTTTTCTCAGTTTCTATCTTGTTTCTCCATTCCTTCTTCTGTGTTTTGCCATGGCTTCCTCTCAGGGTTTGATTCCCAGCTCCGCTGAGTTCGTCACCCTCCAAGAGGCTTATGGCCTTACTCTAGTTGACGGAGTGGAGTTTCCGGTCTCTGGATCTCTGATTACCTGGCCCCCTTCTGGGAAAGCGGGTGTTTACCTAAAAACCTTTGATGCCGGCCTTCGCCTTCTGCTGATTGACTTTCAAGAGGAAATACTCTAGCACAATGGATGCAGTATTCAAATGTTGACCCTAGGTGTTGTTCATAAAATGGTAGCCTTCGAGATGATATGTCGGGCCAATGGCATCATTCCTGACTACTATATGTTCAAGTTCTTCTTCCAGTTTGCTGCTACCAATGATAAGTATACCTTCTCTGGCCGCCGGGGACGCCATAACCTTGTCCTTTATAGCAAGCCTCCCAAGAACCGGCAGGATAAGTGGCTATGGGTCAAGCAAGAGCTTCTTGGCCACGACTATCCTCGGGCAACCGCGTTATCTGACACTATCCCTAAACTGTTCCCCCATAACCAGGCGACTGCCGATCTCGTGCGCATCCTCCAGGTGGACGTCGATGTGATGTCAGAGGTCATAGTTGCTGGTGTTGGAATGAGCCTCAGTTGGCATGCTCAGGAGGAGATGTCCGTCTTCTACATTGTTTCTAATGGTAAGTCATTTTTTAATTCCTCCATTGCCTCCTTTCTCCCCCCCTTTTTTTTTTGGAAAAGGGAAAGAAAAAAGGGATGGGGGCCTCTTGCTTGTTTCTGTGTTCTTGTGCTTGTTTCCTTACTTTTGACATATGATTCATAGGTGTCGAATGCTCCGTCTCCATGGACTTTGTGTTACGGGGGTGTTATCAGGGAAAGTTGGAGCACTATGTGGTTCTCTTGTGTGAGACTTTGCCTCCCACCACCGATTGGGTGTTGTAACCTCGGTGTCCCCTCAACCAGTAGGAATTTCTACTGCGTTAGGGGGCTAGCCGGGTCCCCACACTGTTGTAACCCCTGCCGCTACGTTTTGTCCTCCTGTTGAGCAGATGATTGATACTGCAATGGATAGCAAGATTAGGATTACTACCAGCATTCGTCGAGTTGTAGAAAAAGGAAAGTTGTATACGTGATGAGTGGGCCGGCGTCCGAGGGTAGTTCAGGACCTATTGGGCGGCGTGTGATGTAGCACCGCGACCTTATGCACCTGCTATCTTCTACGCCGTCTCATTCAGGGGATGTGTTAGTGATACCCGATGATGACGTTCAACAGTCTGAGTGTATCGGATGGGCGTCTCATCAGCCCGTTGTTCCTGTGCCAATCTCTTTGAGTCTTGGTTTCAGCCTTCTGTCTTCGAAGGGTAGTCTTGAGCGGTTGTTTCAGTAGTCTGCTGCTGTAGGGGTACTTCACAGTGCACCTCTGTTTGTTTCGGGATAGAGTCTGCGATCCAACTCCCATTTGGATGTGCGTTCTGTTGCGTTCGACTTTACTCACCATGCTTTTCCTCCTGCTACCATCGATGATATGGATTCGATGAGTAACGTTGTCTTGGCTCACAACCTTGGTTATGCCGCTGCACTGGCCATGACATACTTGGCCGCTGGATCCCGTCGTGTGCAACGGTTCGGCGAGCTAGATCACACATACTTTGTTCATTTGGTGAGCGAGGCAGGTTTGCAGGGTGAGGTTTCGGACCTTGGTTCCACCGTTCAACAATTTGAGGATGAGAACAAATCTTTGGTGTCGGAGAAGTCAGTTTTAGAAGATGTTTGTAGTACTTTGGAAGGCCAGGTGGAATCTTTAACCTAGGCGAATGAAGGTCGGATGTTACAAAATGAAAGTCTAGAGCAGGATCTTGTTGATTGCAAGCGAGAATTGGAGGTATTAAGGGTTGACCGTAATTGGCTACTTCAGGTTGGCCTTGTGCATGTGATGATTAAACTTCTTGAGCATCCTGAATTTATAAGTGGTATTAGCCGTATTCGTCATGATGCATTTGTTGGTGGTGATGAATCTGGTTGGGCTAACTTGAAAGCACAAGTCAACGTTGGGACTTATGACCCTTTTGCCAGTGACTCACAGTCGAGTCTTTCTTCAGCTTTGGATGATGCACTCATGGCTTTCGCAATGATAGACATTGATAGCTTGCTTGGGTTAGGCCACCTGGACGTGGACGGGGTGCGGGCGCTATATGCTTTTGATGAATGTGAAGACATTGTGGAGGATTTGGGTGTTGAGGTTGGTGGGCGGTTGGTAAAGTTGAGATTGGTGGCACTGTTGGAGCAGGTGATGGGGTCAAGGTGTAACACTAGTCAAAATAGGTCAATAGACAATCACATGTGATTATACCAATCATGTAATGTTATTATGTTAACCTAGTAATGTGGTAAGAATGTTATGTAGTTCATGATAAATTATAATACAAATATGAACTTCGTTTATGATACAACTCATAGTATACTTCCATACGATTCCAAAAATATAGAGAACATCTGAATCTGAATTCGCATGAAGAAGTTATGACAAACCGAACACTGTAAATCTCTATAATAAGAGGAATTTAAAATAGACTTAGAATTAGCTATTTAAGTCTAAAATAGAATTGTAGTACTCATAAATACCTACGCGTTCATATAAAGAACGTCAAAACCGGAGTTCGTATGCAAAAGTTATGGCCTTCTAAAGATTTAGCTTTTAAAAACCCTAAACTAGCTAATTCACGACGTGAGTTTTATGACGGTCACGACATTCTATCATAATTTGGAATCTGAAGCTGCGAGAGGATAGGATCCAAAATTCACGACGTGAGTTTTATGACACTCACGACGTGAGGTGTCATTCTGTCATAATTCGGAATCTAGAAGCTGCGAGAGGATAGGATCCAAAATTCACGACGTGAGTTTTATGACACTCACGACGTGAGGTGTCATTTTGTCATAATTCGGAATCTAGAAGCTGCGAGAGAATAGGATCCAAAATTCACGACGTGAGTTTTATGAAACTCACGACGTGAGGAGTCACATGGCCAACTTCCAAAGCTAGGGACGCAAATGGCATATCTTGAAGTTTTATATGCTAAGTCATATAGTATGTTGCAATTTATAGTTTTATGTCAAGATAAAGCTAGATATGTTATATGTTGTTATTATTAGTTTTATGTCAAGATAAAACTGGATATGTTGTTATTTTTAGTTTTATGTCAAGACAAAACTAGAAACGTTATATGTTGTTATTATTGGTTTTAGGTCAAGATAAAACCTGGTTTTTACTTCAAGATATAGTTGTTATACTGCCTAAATATTTTGAAGTTAGGAGTAATGTTTAAAAGCAAAGTCTAGTAACTTAAGGTTTTATACATGAAAATGCTTTTGTTCTTAGAGCTATAGGAAGCCGTCGAAGTCTACATGAGTAATTGTATTCATCAACTAAGATTGGGGATCTTAGTGGAAATCCTCTGAACTGTAACTGTTAATCCTGTGTGAGCGAGGAAGTCGTGTATAATTAGTATACAGGCTGACCACCCCACTTGTGACTGTTAGCTACAATCAACCAAAAACAAGTGATGAACTATCCTTTTATTTGTTATTGTTCCGGCGTCGATGAAGCGTACGGTATTGTTTCTCATGTTAAATCATGAGTGTATTGTTCTATCAGAGGTATTATGTCATAGAAGTGGTTACAGGCTCATGGTAGCAAATTGTAGAAACATTATACCTTGTCGTATACAAGTATTAATGTTAAGTATAAGTTTTCCCCTACTTATACCTTAAGATTAAGAAATGTTTTAGTATAACACTTAATTGATAAGTATACAATTATACCTAATGCTGGAGAATCAAAATGATACTTTCAAAACTATACTTTTGAATGTGTAAAAATGTATTATTTTATGGAGTCAAAACCTATGGACTCACCAACTTTATGTTGATGTATTTTAAAATGCATGTGTTTTCAGGAACTCGAAAAGCGGGTATGTATTCAAACAGGAGAAGTTTTACTAGTATCTTTCTATTCTTTAAGAAGTATGTCATAGTCGGATATTATGTAATAAATACTAGGAAAAAACAATAATGTAGCTTTGAATCATCAATAAAGGTATGTATTTTCATTAAGTATTGTTCAATGTATGTTACATAACTGTGATACGAAAAATGACGTTACACTACCCGGTGTTTCCGCCAATGGCCAGGGTGTGACAGGTTGGTATCAGAGCTATTAACTATAGTGAACTAGTACTTTCTTAGGAAAGCACGTCTATAGTTTAGGACTTACTCTATTAGGTTTAGGTATATCCCTTAGCCTATAAATAAAAAGTATTATTAATTATACTACGGAAGGACGACTTACAGGAGCGGTGACAAGGATAGACATGTCGATTTGCTTTGCTGGATTTCAAAACGGCTATATGCCAAAATGATCCTGCCCTTTCGACAGTACTGACTAGCCGGAGCCTTATCAGATAGACCTGAAGTAACAAACAATAGTAAAAGCGTGAATACAATAAATAAGAATATAGAGTCATATATAAAGACTCAGACCTGCGATGAGAATACGCCTTAATACCCAGAATGTTTTTGATCTCAAGGATTTAGATCAAATATTCCAACTAAAGTTTATATGTGCATAGATCCTATCACAACTAGGTGTAGGTGCGCAACTACATTTTATTATGATCAGATCAAGTGAACTATTTAATTTGGGAGAAATATTTGATAGACTAAACTTTTGGTGATCCAAAATGTATAGGACTTCGACATGACACATTTACGAGAATGGATAATCATCGAGTATACGGATGAAGAAGAGGAACTTTCATTTCCTAGGATGGTAGGCGATCCTTACTACCCTATAAATCCAACCACCTTTCATCCAATACCTTCTGATGATGGAGCACATTTATATTCCAATGAATGGGAAGAGAGTGAACCAATGGAAGAGAGCGAACCAATGGATGAGACAGAGTCGGTGGCATCATCTTTACCACCAATGAACACTCTTTATCGTCAAGTTCCAGGAGGAGCAAAGATGAAACACATGACACGTAAATCCATACCAATATGGAAAAAGATTAAGAAGAATCAGAAGGCGACATCTTCAGGAAGTCATAGAGTTCAAGATGAATCTGGACGGATAGCCCAAACCGTCGATAGGTGGGTGATAGAAGAAAGAGCTGCTAAGATGTATGAGACTGGTGAATCATCTCGACCACATCCCCCACATTCTTCCGAAGTGAA